GAATAAATGAAATCACAAAGGATTAATCATATATTCTTGACAAAAATGTGGCTTGATCTCTTCCTCTTCTTCGGAATCGTTCAGAGCCTCTCGGGAGTTCTTCAGAGCTTTACTGCAGCGTTTCTTCGTCTGGAGGTTCTCCTCCCTTTCTCTCAACTGAGACCCCTATTTATAGGTGTGGAGGAGGTGAAAATATGGCTTTAGGGTTCCCAAAATTCGTCCATATTATATGGGCCCTAATTAAAATGGGTTTTGGGCTCTATTTGCTTGCATCTAATAGCTAGAAAAATCAGCACTTATATAATGTATCTGGACAGCCTTTTTAACAAGGTTCGGAGCTATTTCTCTTGCATATGAATGGATTTCTTAACCAGATTCATTGTCTTGTTTATCAATTGGATCACGTCTCTTATATATTGGGCCGTTATTTGACAATGGGCTCAACATTAATAGGACCCGCCTATTCTTTCAAATATTTAATTTATAATTAAATTAATTGGATATTTGAGTGATCTGAATTAATTTAATCACTAAATTATATTCGAACAGGCCCATGTTAATATTTTTTTTTTACCAGGCCCAATAACCATCACGAGCAGCCCGGTAGAATCCGATGTTGGTCCAGTATCCTTCCATATTGTCAAGAATAGCTCGGTAACATTAAAAATGAGCTCAATAATAATTATAATTGGGCCAACATTTTTTTAATGTCCACAGTCGTATGAAAAATAACGCATTCTTCTAAAAATAACCTAAACAACATATATATACATAAAATAATAGTGATCTCCTATAAATATATGAATTCACTTTAAAGAATATATCAAGAGAAAACTTCATGTCAGGCCGGCCTGACGGGCTGCCCCGTCCGGCCGAGCCCGTTTGGGAACCTTCCCGGTGGAATTTTTTGTTGAAATTTTTTGAGCATGTTCCTCATCAAGTCTAGTTTGTTCATACCAAATTTCAGCTCAAAATTCAATCGGGAAGGTCGTCAAATGATTTTTGCAAGTTAACTGGTCCGGAATATGTATTTTCCGGACCAGTTAACTTGCAAAAATCATTTGACGACCTTCCAGATCGAATTTTGAGCTGAAATTTGGTATGGACAAACTAGACTTCATGAGGAACATGCTCAAAAAATTTCATCAAAAAATTCCACCGGGAAGGTGCCCAAACGGGCTCCGCCGGACGGGGCAGCCCGTCACGCCGGCCTGATGAGAAGAGTCCTCATATATCAATTAGAGCAACATGAATATAAAGTCTTCATCCTTTATCTGATGTGTTTGTACTCACTATATTATAATTTTAAAGAAATTATTGAATCGAACTTTCAGTATACGGTACATCAACTATTTTTAAATATACTGATATCATACTGAATTAATTCGGTACAATATTATACCAGAAATATCGATATACCAGTTTTTTTGGTATTTTTTTGCTAAATTTGCAATGTAAAAATTGATATGAATGAATTATTTATCTGCAACACGCCAATTTTCGTTGTTTACTACGAGTATGTTAATAATCATCTCTGAAATTTAAGTTTAATCTGCAATATGACTTCAGGCTTTACATAGGTCTATATAAGTAATCTGCAATATGACTTCATGTGGTTGAGGTTCCCATTAGGAAAAGGTTAAAAGAAAAAATAGGACATGTAGCTTCAACAAGCAGGAAAAACTAAAGGAAAAAATATGTAACTTCAATAAGAATTTGAAGTAGAAATGAAGCTAGATATCCCAGAAAAAAGAGCGATAACGTGTACATGAAGTGTGGAAAATGTCATTAGTTTGATATGTCTATCGTGCTTAGAAATTTTAATTAGAGCCTCTTTGCTAAAACTTTTTACAAATTATCAGTCATGTCAATCAATTTTTTATCAAACACCTAATTTTTTATGAGTAATGTTTGAATTACTTTTTTGACTGAATTGGCTAAAGTAACTATATGACCATTTTAGCTATTTAGTTTTCATATTAAGTATAATTTTTCTTTTATTTCATTACTAAAATATATTTTAAATATAAATTTTCCAATACGTATTCATTCAATTTAGTTGGTTTGACCAGAATTTCATTTGACTCAATATATTTAGGTAATTTTTTCCATGGGTGTATTGCGTAATTCTTTCCATGGGTTCTTGTTTGACTATTATTGTTTTCTGAAAACAATTAAACGCGTGATACTTTTTTAGTATGCACAATTTTATACATAAGTATACATCAATTTAAATTAATCATATGCCTTGATTCCCGGTTTGTAAGCAAACTCCACACCCATCACCATCACACTGATCATGATTTCCATTGCATTCAAAACATGCGTCCCTCTTCTTCCCTTCTAGAATTAATAATGTCGAAAAAGAAAAACGCCAATAAAAAGAAGAATTGTGCAATTAATTTTATACTACGAATAATACATCGATCACATTTTATTTCTTAATTGGAACGACGTACGGTTTAACTTTTTCTCTATTCATATAACATATTAATTTTATAAGATATGTACAAAACTATACTCCGTATATATATATTACTCCGTATTAAACAACAATATATCTTGTTTTTTCTTAAGGTAAAAATTTCAAGAATTTTATAAAGTTTTCTTTCTAATTGCTAATTGAATTCACGAATAACTGAAGTCGAGAATTGAAAGCAAAATTGAAAGTGGAAACTATTTCAATTAAATAAAATCAAGAGACCGCGATTGATCAATAATTCAATATGATACTTGTGTTCATAAAGTTTGTTACAACAGTTTCACTTCTGTACTATTCACATAATTTATTTTATTAATATTCTATTTATTCAAGTTCGTGGAAATCATATTATAAAATGCGATTACACTTCTCTCGATGTACGTACGTACATTTTTAAATTGTAACTTTGGGTACGTACTCTATATTCTTATTTATAGACAATTGAGTATGGCAATATAATGACAAAAGATTCAAAGTTGTGTATTAACTAGTGAAATCATTGCATATTTATTATTAAAATAAAGATGATCGATAAAAATGCCAACTCTTATTAAAAGGGACCATAATAATTACTTTTAAGGAAATTTTGTGAAATAGGAGTAAACATGTTTTGAAATATCAAAATAAGTTTTCTATGTTATTATTCACGAAATGGGAGTGATATGACCGTATTTACTATCATCTTGTTTCTTAGTAGTCATTATTGCTAATTGCCAAATAATTGAAATACTAGACATTCAACATGACAATATATATTATCAATAATGACAATATTTCTTAGGGGTGGGCGGCTGGGCGCGGTCCGGAACGGTCCGGTAAATTAGCAAAACCCGTAATGTATCCGTGAGGTTTCTAACGGTTCGGTATGGTCCGGTTCTAAGGATAGAACCATTCGGTACCATGTCGTTTCGGAACGGTACAAAATGGTTCGGTACAATGCCAAACACATGCCGAAACATTTGAACAAATTTTGCAATTAGTAGATATATCACCCGGGCCAATTGACGTGAAATTTTGATAAAAATACAAGAAAGTGCATATATACTAAATACTAGAAAAGATTCAAGAGGTTGGCATTTTTGTATTTAAATTCAAAAAAACTCAAACAGTGAAAGAAATTTAGTAAAAGTATAGCAAAATGACAATATACAATCGTATAATATCAGCTTTATTAAATTCAAGAGAACATATAAAGAGAATATCGTTAAATTATTGAACAGGATACACATATTTAATGTTCTTCTTCTTTGTTCTAAGTTGAATATTAATTCTACTGTAGTTCATAGTTGAACCGTAAGAGCTATGATTCAAATCATATTAATTAAGTTATAAAACTACACAAATATGATACAACAAAAGTCATATACACAGTACACTACATTACTAGAAATTAATAGTCATGAATGATTTTTAAAACTTTGGCATTCTTTCATTATATACCAAATATAATATAAATTAATTATCTAAAAGGAAAAAATAATACTTCGTAATATTTATATAACACACACTTAGCTATTTTATGTATGCATGAATACATATTTGGGCTATAAAAGTTGTTGGTCTATAAAAGATATTTATGGGTATGGAAAAATATAAAAAATATCAAAGACATTATTTTTGAACGGTTCGGTATTTTTCAGTTCTCAAAATCTAGGACCGGTCACGTACCCGTTTGAAACGGTACAGTTTCGGTTCGGGATAAAATTTTATAGAACCATTTAAATACCCGATATTCGGTTGGTACCACTACGGGCCGGTTCGGTACAGGTTCGGTGCGGTTTTTATGCCCACCCCTAATATTTCTCAATTATGGCAGTTTTTAATGGCGCGGTTATATTCAAAAATTCATTTGGCTGTCTTTCCGATTGAATTTTTAGCTGAAATATGGTATGAGTAAACTAGACTTAATGAAGAAGATGCTCAAAAAATTTCATCAAAAATTCCACCAGGAACCGCCCCAGATGGCGACGGCCGGACAGACCTTCTATATAAGGGGTGATTTGCACTTTTTTGGTTAGTTTTTCCCTTTAAAATACATTAACAAATAAAATGTAGTCAAAGTAAAATATGTGAATAGAGCGTAATCACCAACGCTGCAATTAAAAGAGAACGGATGTAATACGTAGTACGGAATACGTAGTACTCCCTCTGTCCCGTTGGAATGTTCCCGTTCACTATTCATTGGTCAACTTAGGTCACTCCTAATCTTTTACTTTATATATCAAATTTTATCAAATTGAACTTTTCTTGATCAGACTTTGTAGCTTTGTAGCGGTTTTAATGTAGTTTCTGAATATGTAAATTTTATTTACTAAAAATAAGCAGAGTGTGAACAGGGATCGAGTTGCTTTATCGTCAGTCAAGCATCGTAAACCGAACGGGAACATTCCAACGGGACGGAGGTAGTATATAATAACAATATTACTATACGAAATACTCGGTATAATATACGGAGTAAATTATAAGCGCCTCATCTAAGCCTTTACATATTTATACATGCAAATCTAGTAGCTAGATCACTCTCGACGGGGAATAAATAACTGTTAGAGTCTAAGTGAGTGATAGAGAGAGAACAATAATATAATGAGAAAGCCATCTGAGATGTCACCGTCCGGCAAGAATGGCTCCAACGCCGGCACCGGAAACTGTAGCAGCAACAACGCCGGGAAGCTCCGGAAAGGGCTATGGTCGCCGGAGGAGGACGAGAGGCTGATGCATTACATGCTGAGCAACGGGCAAGGGTGTTGGAGCGAGGTGGCGAGGAATGCCGGACTGCAGCGCTGCGGTAAGAGCTGCCGGCTCCGGTGGATCAACTATCTCCGGCCGGATCTCAAAAGAGGCCCCTTCTCGCCGGCCGAAGAGGAGCTTATTATGCATTTGCATTCCCTCCTCGGCAACAGGCCAGTCTCTATTCCTCTTTCTCTTTTCAAATTCAACTTCTAAAATTTTGGGAAAATTATCGAAATCTAAATAAAATTTTGAAAATTCTAAAATATGATTATCATATTTTTATTCTCCAAATGATTGATGCTATATTTAAAAAATACTGACAAGTTTAAAGCTTCATATTGTTAAAACATGACAATAATTACTCTTATTTAGTTCAATGTACAACAATTTCCCTTAATTATTCTGGAAATGAAAATTAAATGGATGGAGTAACAATTAACAAAAATTGTCCATTAAGTTAATTTTTACTACGTGTGGTTTACAAATTCAAACCACTGATTATTATTTAAAAGTAACCCCGATTAATTAATAATGATATCAGAAGTGTGAAGTGTACACTAAGAATTACATTAATAATTAGCATGTATTAAGGAGTATAAATTAAGAAATAACCGTGATGAATATATTATTATTAAAATAAAGTTGGTTGAAACAAATTAACTTTTAATTATAGTGCCTATACTATTGGCTTTAGTGATCAATATAATTAATGTTCAAATTTACAATATTGTGACTGTGATGATATGTTCATATTTTTTTTTTTTTATTTTTTTATTTTTTTATATGTTCATATATAGTAGTCCTAGTCACAATTTTGTTCATAAATTTTATTTCAATAATATTTAAGGAAAAATCTCATTAATTAAACATTGTAATAGAATGAACACAAACCAATGAAGAGATCGAAATGGTTAATATAAGGAAATTAATAATTGTTCAATTAATTGTTCATTATTACTAGTAACACTACTTATACTTTTATATTATTCATAAATTTTGATTTAACCATTTTTATTTATCAATTTAAGAAAAAGAATCATAATTAATATGAAGTAATTAGTATGCTATAAATTTTGTCTTTATGTACTTTTTAGGGATTTTCCCCAAAACATACTAAAATAATACTCATAGATAAAATGTGATTAAAATGATTATTATGAACATATTTTTAGTCAATAAAAATGTAATGCTTTAACATATACTATCATCCGTTCTTTAAAAGTTGCAACAGTTTGACTTTCACGTTTGTCAATGCAAAATTTTGACTGTAATTATATTTAATTACGTATTAGTAAACATTAAAAAAGGAAATTTACATTACTATAAATTTAATAACATTTTATTCATTATACTTTGATTATATATATTCCTTTAGAAAATCGTAGTCAAAGTAAGATAATGTGTGAATAGCGCAAAAATCTCAATGTTGCAACTTTTTAATAAACAGAGGAAGATAATCATGGTTACTAAATGTAACTAATTAAGTCACACTTTTGTCCATTATTTACTCCATATTTTGATAATATTTTGGAATTATTACTTATCCTTTAAAATGTTAAATTTACAATATTAGAGATTAGTTAATAAAACATATCATAGATCAATGTTATGGCAATAAAACTGTTGTCATCAATAGAAGAGACTAGAGAGTACAGTAAATATTACAAAGGCGGCTTTCAAGTAAGTAGCATGTAGAAATTAACTTCATTACGAAAATGCCGTTTGTACTTTTTAACTTGACTTTTGCCAGTGATACACAAAATGTGTACACAAAATGTATACACATCTGTTTTCACAGAAATTTTTTCAAGTCATACGAGACATTTTTTATACAGACAAAAATGATTAGTGGAGAAGCCTGGGTGGGCAAAATGAATTCCCAAGTCTGTATTTATCATTTTGACGCAAATGTTAAATGTGCATAAAATAATCATATAAAACTTTATTTCTACGTTATTTATTTGTAAACGTTCACTAAATTGGGTTTGGATTAATCAAATCATACATATTTCGGTACCCGTACTTCATCAATCGATGTAAGAATTTTATTGGGGGAAACTACGTTTTTTTTTGCGAGGATCATTTGTAATTTGTAAACATATAATGAGATCAACGATGTCTCATATATACGATAGACGATAATGCCCCTGTTTGAATATTGACGGCTTACGCCAAAACGCCAAAAAACAAACGGCACTATATCCTTATCATTCTAAACCGATACTTCTCTAAATATTTCTCCAATGTCTTTGAAGTCTTGAGTTAATAAAATTCCTTAATACTTTTATCCATTCAAAAATGTTCTTCCCACTTGGTCTTTTACATGGTTAACATTCCTCCATCCACCTCAACTTCGTACATTTTCAAGTTAAAAATAAGGTACTACGTAGTATTTATTGACAATTTCTAAATTCTAACCCAAGCTTAAGTGAAAAGTTTATGATCACATACTGGCATACATCAATATCGAAGATCTTAGCATAAGAAAATTTAATATGATGAAAGTTTCAGAAATATCATGAGCACTAAATATAATAAACACACGAAGCTGTGTAAGGAGGGGAGTGATTTTTTTTTTAGGTAAACGTCAGGTATGAAAAGTCACCAAGTTTGATCTTTGTTAAGTTTGGGGTTAATTCCCTCAATAGGAGTAAAACATGGAATAAATTCCTAAATAGGAGTCCAATGTTTAGGAGGTCTTTAATAGGAGTAAAGACGTAGTGGCTGGACCATATTACCCTTAATGAAATGATATTTCACTTTAACTCAATTAAAAGTGGAAATAATATTTGCAACTCTAATGGATCTGCAGCCCCACAGCCCCACACCCAAGCACACAGCCGCTGCACCTCATGGTTGTCGCTGCCACCATCTCAACAGAGCCCCCGCCGCCATCTCAACGGAGCCCGCACCGCCATCTCAATGGAGCCGCCGCCTCCACCTCCTCAACAAAGCCGCCACCGCCTCCTCCTCCTCAACGGAGCCGCCGCCTCCGCCTCCGCCTCCTCAATGGAGCCGCCGCCTTCGCCTCCTCAATGGAGCCGCCCGCCGCCCGACGAATCTCCTGGCCCTGTCTGACAAGTCCGGCACCGCCTCCCGACGACGTCGCGCTCTGCCATGCCTTCACCTCCTCTAGCAAGATCGTTCTGAACAGTAAAAGGACTTACAGATTAATGCCATATTATAATAATAATAATAATAATAATAATAATAATAATAATAATAATAATAATAATAATAATAATAATAATAATAATAATAATAATGGCATTGGTGTTTAAAAAAATGGCATTGATGTTTAAAAACATGACACTCACCCCATAAATGGCACTGGCAGTCCAAAAATTTGGCATTCATAACCCAGAAATGGCATTGGCAGTCCAAAATTTTGGCATTCACAAAACATCATATTAAAACTAATGTTGCCATTTTTCATAAAATTAGTGCCATAAAAATGATAATATTGGGTAGAGAATATGGCACTATAATAATTACTTTATTTCAAAGGAGCTAGTATCATTGTCATCTTCATAAATAAAATGTCACTAAAATGAAATTAATTTTTTAAATAAAAAAAATCAGTTTGAAAATGATGAAGAAAAATCAGATGTTGTTTTTGGAACACAAATGAAAGGAAATCAAAGCAAAACGTCAAATTAAAAATCTAAAAATCAAAAGTTGGATAAAAAAATAAAAAACCAAGCCTCAAAGTTCCAGATCTGAGTTTTCAGATTGTAGATAGAAATGAAAAAAACAAATGAAGAAGAAAACAGAGGAATAAGGAGGATGTCGTAGGTTGGAGGAGGAAGAAAAGAAAGGAAAAGAAGGAGAAGAAGAAGAGGAAGGAGAAAGAAGAAGAGATGAAAACCTGCTATCCACTTTACAATCTGAAATCGGCAAGGTGATCCGGCGATGGTGGAGGCGAAACAGATGAAGAAAGGCGTTGGAGCTGGAGGCGTTGGAGTTCAATCGGCTGCACAATCGAAATGGGCAGTGAAGAAGGAATGGAGGCGTTGGAGTTCAATCGACGATTCTGGGAGCAGAGTGGCGTGAAATGGGTTTGGGGAAAGGGTTTTTTAATAAGAGGGGTATATTAGTAAATGAAGTCTTATTTAGGGAATAAAAAACTTAGACTCTTATTTAGGAACTAATCCTATGTTTTACTCTTATTTGAGGCAATTTCCGTTAAGTTTGTGAGGTCATCGAGCACACGAACCTTAAGTCATATGGGACATGCATGAGGGGTACGCTGATAGTGGAAGAGGTAGACTCTGTGTAGAGAGAAAGTGAGTTTTTTTATCGATCGGGGCGGTATTAATGGTGGGAGAGGGGGAACAAGTAAGGCAATGGTAGATGGGAGAGGGGTGATGGAGAAGTGGTAGTTGAAGTGATTATCTTTACCCGATGACCAATGTATGGAGTTATGTAACATTATTGGTTGTATCGATCTTGGAAGCCTTCTACACCCATATGTCGATTGTCATTCCATACCACTATACGAGTATAGAGAAAGTATGGTTCAGACATCAGACAAGTCGCTAGCGCAATGGGAAAGGATATGAGAAGCATATCCATGAGTGATGACACTTTGTTGTAGTCAAGTGGTCGTAGAAAGTTTCTATACTTAGAAATGAATCCATTATGTGTCTAAGAATGTTCCCACTACAGGTCTTCTAGCTTTTGCTTATAATCAATCTTCTCATCTTTAATTGTCAATGGTTCCTCCATATCACTTCAACCACTGATGAGATTCCTGCAAGAATATCAAAAGGTTTGAGGTTATCTTGTGAATACCAAGTATCACGATACCATTCAAATATGGAGATTTCACCAGAAATGAAATGTATCAAGCTACCATTCAAATATGTGGCATTATATATTCATAAGGGTAAAGGGGGTTAACAAGGTTACACTTCAATCTTATAATCCTATTTGATGAAAAACTATCTCCTTGATAAATAAACGTCCATAATTAAGGAGGCAAACTAATACTTATAATTGATTATCAAACACGTTCTTTTCTCCATTCCCTTACATGCCATGTATGTAATACTCTTCCTAAATGGGTTATACGTATCGTAGAAAAGAAAATGACCAACTTATAGTTAATTAATTTTACATCAAATATCCCTCATGCTATAGCTACATTACTTTTCATTATAGAATAATAGATGACATGATAAAATGTGAGGTGAAATTGCGTACTCAAAGTTTTTATTGCATATATTCAACACTTTTTTAATCTGCAGGATTATTATGATTTAACTTTTTATGTGTACAAGCAGGTGGTCTTTAATTGCAGCACGTCTACCCGGACGTACAGATAATGAGATCAAGAACTTTTGGAACTCAACACTGAAAAAGAGAACAAAAAACTCTTCATCTTCATCCACCACATCACCAAACACAAGCCACTCTACATCTTTAGGGACCTGCATGGACATTATCATTGGAGCTCACAACCATCAAAGTAGCAATAACAATCACACTATTGGGTCCCTAATATCTTCACCGATGTACATGCACGACTCATTGATGTCATCTCTATTTTCTTCCTCCATATCCCTGAACACCACACTTGATACATTGCCAAACGACTTTTCCAATTTGGAAACATGCAGTAGAACCAACATTGGAAACTATTGTAGGGAGGATGTTATATTTGGTGGGATCAATGGAGCATTACACGGATCTTCACACCATGTTTCCGCTTCATCTATAGAGAATCCTAATAACCTTAAATACAATATGGTGGAACCCGAGGGGATTGATAGTATGATGAACATACATAATATTAACTCCAAGGGTAACTATGAAATGGTGAGTAGCACCAACCACATAAGTGACCATTTTATGAGTAATGACACAATCAATAAGATCAAAGTACATAATGATGTGGGGGGAGATTGTGAGAGCTATTGGGAAGATGCAAGAGAATGGGATATAGAAGAGTTGATGAAGGATATCCCCAATCCTACTCCATTTCTTGATTTTCCAATTGAATAGTAAATAACACTTGCTCACATTTCCAATGTAATTCTATACCCTCACACATTTACAGAAGACTGTGATTTTATCAAATTATTATTGATTTTTAGGTGTACATCAAAGAGGTATCAATTCAATAATAAATTTGTAAGGAGATTAATTCTTGTAAATATGTGTAAAGTAATCACGTATATTATCTACACTATGTTACGGTGTTTGTAATGATCTTAATAAAAATCTAGCTATTTGTGATGAGATATGTGGATCAAATACAAGTATATAGTTATAATCTTTAGTAAGTAGTATTAATTTGATATGGTTACTATACTTAGATGAGTTAGTTGTCTTCGAAATCTAATTATACATTGATGCACGAGACTTGTTCGCCCTCTCATTATCTAATGAGCCCCAAACAAATCCTTCATTGTTTCATACCCATGAACACAATTGACATCTATAATCTATCGAACTCAACACTTTAACTTAACTCACCCCTCTTCTCATGCTATTGTCATTCATATTTTATTCTCTGTACTTCATTTCATTATCTCAACAAAATGAAAAATAATAGTCTTCTTTTTTAACTTTGAGTTTTATTTCATTTCATTGGCTTAGTAAATTAAAAGTATCATTTTAGTTATATTCACAAGGATCCAAACATATATTATAAGTAGAGATGAAATGCATAAGATATACCTAAATATTACAAGTTCACTATTATTGGTCTACAATGATGCAAGAAGCACAATTGGGGTGAATTAACTGTTACCAAATTTTCTTTTTGGTCCATGATTAAATCTGAATTCATATGGATGAGTTCTTAGGGAAGTTGGTTTATCTAATTATTTTACAATTAACATTCTTTTGAGAGTTGCACCACAATATTGAGAAAGTCTACATTCTTAAATAAATAGAATGTAGCTTGTGTTGGGTTTGAAAGCTGTTTATCGCAATGTGGGGTAACCACAACTTGCATCACAATCTATATGACACATGGCTGGGGTAGGGCATGATGCGGACATAGGCATAATTGATGACTGGCCTCCTCATATGGACCACCGCCATGGAGTGAACATGTGCCTAGGGCGGGTTGAAAAAATAAGATTCAAGTTTGCTTTGTTTTTATTTCAAGTTTGATCTTTCTTTTGTTAGACAATTTTTCCGACTCTTGGATTGTTTGTGTTCGTGGTAGTTTTGAGATGTGTAATTTAGTTATTGTCAAGGGTAATTGCCTCAAAACTCCCATATGTTCAGCAAGAAGCTTTGCTCAATTTTGGGTAAACTTTTCTACGCGTGATCAGAGACGAAGAGGATCCTGTAATTCTTATGAGCCTAGTGAAGTGGTGAAGAGTACGGCGACCTTAAAGGTCGATAAGAACTCTAGGTTGCCTATTTGGTGGTCAGCGATTCGTGTTGCTTTTTCAGAGATGGTCATCTCAGAGTCTGATTGGAGGGCGTTTCTTGAGTCTAGATGCACTTTGTTGAAGGAAAGGTTGTGGTTTTGAAGCTATTGATTGATTGTAACTCATGATTCATTTGATACATTAATATAAGTCTAGCTTTCCTTTAAAAAAAGAATGAATTGAATATAAATATAATTTTAAAAAATTTACACAAGAAAAGAAGAACTTCAATGAGAAAGTAAATAAGAAGTCATGGGAGCAGAGATCACAATATTCAATTGCAGAGTTTTAATATTCAATGTACAAGATTTGATGCTCAATGAAAATGTTTTGATACTCAACTAGCAGAGTTTACGATCTTCGTATCAATACATATTTCAAAAGTACAATACTCCCTCCGTTCCGAAAAGGTTTGCCAAATTAACTTTTCTTGGTCAATGTCGATCAACTTTGACCGATCATATTTTTTAATTTGAAATTATTTTGAATATGAAAATTATATCAAAATGTTCCTTATTCTAAATATTTTCATAAAAGTTTAAAATTTATAAATCAAATACAAATATAATAATTAAAAGGCAAAATTCACAAAAATAATCTCTACTTTTATGGATTCTACAATAATAATCTCTACTGAGACTATTCATAAAAATAATCCGAACTAAGAATAGTGTGCACAAGAATAAATGAGGTAAATTAAAATTATTTCCCATTTAATTCTCCCAAATCTTACCTCTACTTTCCTCTTCACCACTCTTCTTTTTGGGTAACACTTTGATAGTGTATATAGACTCAGACTCTGGGTATCACGATTATTGGGCCCAGACAGCGGCCCGGATAGCGGCCCACATATGTTCAGTAGATAGCATTTATTTCCTTGTACACTACATTTATTCATATGTACCCATTAAAATAGATTAGATACTATTTATTAGCCATTTATTGTAACTGGGCCAGCCAGGCCCAAGCCTGGAAGCCCAGCCCTCTTTTCTCCTATAAATACCCCCTATGGGAGCCATGTAAAGGAGGGGGTGGTTGATTGAAAATTCATTTATACATATCACTTTATCTCTCTAGCTCTCCCTTCTCTCTAGAATTAATACTCTATCATTTGGTGCTTTCATTGAGAGGTATCTCCCCATTGTGGATCAAAAGGTGTCAACCCTCGCCCCCCCCCCCCCCCCCCCCGTTGAAGACATCATCAGACAGGCATTACTCTACTCCTCTTCACCTCATTACACTCGCCTCAAGGAGTGGGGGACTGGGAGAGCGGGGGACTTAGCGCCTCCGTTACCAAAGAAGCAAAAAATTCAAAATTTTTGCAAGGATTGCCACACGCACCGACGACATCATCATATCACATACATATTCAGCTGCCACATCGGCCAGTACATATACATAGCTCCCCGGCCTCAAGACCGGTAGTGATGGTCTCTAGCCTGCGACCTTCGGCTGAGGATTCTCCCACAGGGTTGCCTCAGTCAGGGCTCGCCAATGGGATCAGATCATCAGCTTGGGAATTTGGGTGAGGCGCTTCGGCGACGACAGCAGTTTACTCACCGGACGACGACAGATCAGCACACAGTTCTACTCTCTTTCGCCTCGAGTACTCTCGACTCAGAGAGTGGGGGACTCCTGATAGAGTATATAGACTCAGACCCTGGGTATCACGATTATTGGGCCCAGACAGCGGCCCACATATGTTCAGTAGATAGCATTTATTTCCTTGTACACTACATTTATTCATATGTACCCATTAAAATAGATTAGATACTATTTATTAGCCATTTATTGGCCTTTTATTATAACTGGGCCAGCCAGGCCCAAGCCTGGAAGCCCAGCCCTCTTTTCTCCTATAAATACTCCCTATGGGAGCCATGTAAAGGAGGGGGTGGTTGATTGAAAATTCATTTATACATATCACTTTATCTCTCTAGCTCTCCCTTCTCTCTAGAATTAATACTCTATCACACTTCTATCTTCTATCCTAGAAAGAAACACATATGGCGGAAATGACATTAAGATTAAACGGGTTTTAGTTTTATTTCATTTCGATAAGAAGAGCAGTGAAGAGAAAAGTAAGAGTAGGGATTGATAGTAATAAACGGGCATTATTTTGAATTCACCCCAAATTATTCTGGTGGACACTATTGCCAGTTCGGATTATTTTTATAGAAACTCCGTATTTTCTAGGGCTTGGAAGATGATAATTCAAGAATACTAGCAGGAAGGAGCTTGGAGTATTATATTTGTCAATTACTCCGTATTTTATCTTTTATGGTCTTACTTTTGCGTTATGTTTGTTTATGTTGCTATGTTTTTTATTGATATCGGTTTTAGGTCTACAATAAGGATTGACAATTCTGCTAGATATTATGTCGTTAGAAGAATCTATATGTCCAGTGATTGTGTATCACACCCGTTTGGTGGTTGACGATTCATATGACTCTTTAAAGGGTGATCGTTTCTAAGTTTAGTCATAACATTGATAGTGCTAATTGGTTACAAATAGTTGTTGTCAGTGTTGGTTTCTTTGAGTTCCTTCATTGTAATGACCCGAATCCTAATGATATTAACAAGCAGTTTTTTCATTTAAAAAAAATTCTTGCATTTGTGAAATAAATTGCACGTGATATCAACAAAATGTAATGGGATAGAAGTGATACTGATGAAAACGGTTAGCAACACAAGAGGGGGGTGAATTGTGTGTGTGTGGAACCGTGACAGTTTTTCGCACAGTTCTAGTGTGGGGAGATGGGAGTTGCGAAATAGTAAAGTGCACAAGAATTTAACGAGGAAAAACCCCTTAGCTCAAAAGGGATTAAAAAACCTCGACCTCCCTCGGAGGAATTTTAAACAACTTCACTAAACAAGCCTTTGAAAGATTACAAGAGTGATTCTCCTAATCTACCCTTGAGCTTCCCCAACTCTATCCTCTCTAGAAAGAGTTTCGCTTCCCTACCTTGCGAGTAGAGAGCCTCTCGGCTTTACAACAAAGCCCTCACAACACACTTGATCCCAACCCGAGGAAGCTACTCTTAGCTCGTCCTCAATAACCCAATTACAATATAAGAAGGGAATAAAAACTTTGTCTAGAACTTCGGGAGCAGTTTCAAATGCCTTGGACTTGGTATTTCTCTTGAGTATTTCTCTTTATATTTTCTTGGTCCAGCACGCCTTAATTCTCTTTGGCTGCTTCGTTTATATAGGCTGTCTTGAGCAGGCCGTTTGAGTAATCCTCATTGAATAGTTGATCTTCTAATCTTGAGACTTGCCTTGATATTTTGAATTACTTTCCTTAGAGTAGCTCTCTTTATTCGGTCTCAAATATGAGCAAATTTGCTCAAGATTCACGAGTCAACATATAAGGAAATAATATTGATTTACTTAACATGCTTAGTCAAGCAACGGACCATATCAATAAAAATATTCAAATACGGTGCTACTTCAAATAGGGTCAGACAATCTAGTCTACGTAAATCAAGATTCTTTCCACTAATATTCAAGATATTCAAATAACACATAAGAGAACATCAATTTGGGAGAGTATCTTATGCAGCAACGGTTCCTGCCAGCACACATCCTTAATCAAATAAATTAATCATGGATAATCATTTATGGAAAGGAGATATTTATTCAATCATACAAGTAGCAAAGCATACAATACGTAAGTGCTATGGTCAACATCCAATTATCAATCATGCAATCATTAATATAGCAAGTAAGGATACTTTCCATAAAGTAAAAAGCTATACATTCCATAAAGTAATATTATATCACTTAGAGCATCTCTAATGGTACAATGTGCACGGTGCACACGTGGCATATGAGATAGCCACATAAATATTAGCA